TGCCATGCCTTACAATATCCTTATGTGTTCTTGGTCTCGATAACAAGTTGGATGTCCTGTTTCTAAATCATATTGTTCTAACAGCGGTTCGATAAACATTGCATTCATAAAGTTGTCCGAGGAGTGGGTGTGAGTATGAGGTGTGGGTGTTCTCTTTTCTAGCACCCACACCGACATCCACGCCCCACACCCATGCCCTCATAGTCACATCCACACCCATACCCATACTCACACCCACATCCAAACCCACACCCCACACCTCACACCCACACCCACACCCTAATATTTCTATCGCCAAGATATAAATATTGGAAAATTTATTGGTTCTGAAAATATATCGAGCAAACAGTTTACCGAAATGATCGGTACCAGCATGAGTTTTCCATGGGCGAAGTCTGGCGTCTTGTTCGGAGCTTTGGAGAGCTTGATTTATTACATTCGACATTGTAAGTAATAGAAAAAATCTACAATATGAGATTTGTAAGTAATATTATGATAGATATGTGTTCGAAAGATAATGCTTGATGTAAATCAGTATATAACGAAAATAACAAAAAAGTATGAGAAGCAAATGATAAATGAAACGATGCAACCCGAAGATTATTGATAATTTTTAGCAGTGGCAGAATTCTCACCAGTAGAATTTACGAATTGTACTCTATATATGGGTATACATAAAAGCTTTCTATTTATATTTAAGCAGAATTTTGTTAATATTAATATATATACTCTGCCTTCAAGATCAGAATTCTGTTTTTTCAGGAGAATTGAACCAGAATTCTAAGTCACTAACAGAATTTAGTACGAACCTACACACTTGCTCTTGCTAAGATATAACTCTTTTCTGCCGTTGGCTAGCACGGAAAAAAAATAACGGGTAGGTCAGATTAAATTGCCGCTTTTTATATTTTATTTTTTCATTATCTAGTACGTTTTATTAAAAAACAAAATATCCCACAAGATGCAGCGTGAAAAGCTCTATAATCTACAAAGAATAGTTTATGTAAATAAGAAAAAAGAAAGTTCTCATTCGTGTCGAAAGAGTCATTTTTTCGCAGTGTCGAATACTGGTTGCACAGAATTTTGCTTTCTTTTCAGAACAAAAAGAACACAATTAAGCTAAGCTTTACTTTGTAAATTGTGGAGTTTTCACGCTGCATCTTGTGATATATTTTGATTTTTTTTACGAAAACATATTAGCTGATAAAGAGACGAAATCAGAAAAAAATTGTTTCTTGTTCTTGTGGAAAAAAATGATCTTTGAGCAGCGATGATATTTGATCACTCGAAACTTTATCCATTTTAGAAACAAAAATTGAAACTATAAAATAAGTGGCTTTATGCAAATTGTAGAGCTTTTCAGGCTGCATCTTGTGGTATATTTTGTTTTTTAATAAAACGTACTAGATAATGAAAAAATAAAATATAAAAAGCGTCAATTTAATCTGGCCCACCCGTTACAATGTTGTGTATTTTATCTGTGCACGTTCTTTTATAAAACAAGCGACGAATGCATGGTGTTTTGCTCGTAGAACCATTCAGAGACTTGTCTATTTGCGCATTTATTCGTTATCTTTACTGCAAGAGAAAGAGAAATTTGGGAAGGAGTTGTAGTGCGGGAAGACAACATTACAGTTTTGCAACATGAGTATCTTGACAGTGATGAAACAATGTCTGTTTAATACAGATAATCTAGTAGTAGATGAAAAATAGAATTATTCTTCTTTTATCGAATCGCTGTCTTGTTCCCATTCAGACTGCTTTCACCGAAATGTTCAACACATCCACTGTTGCTGATAAAATATTATTCATCAAAAAAGAGAAGAGCGGATAAAACTCTTTCCTAGTCCGCAAAAACTTTCAGCTTTTCTGTGCTCGGACAATGTTGACGTATGGCGCTTGTATACGAAATTTCAGAATTTTTGAATCTAAGCTGTTCTAGATTCCCATGTCTCAAAACTTAGAAGCTTTTCGATTCATATCATGAAAGATCACTCCTTAGAAAAATGCATATCTCGAAGAGATTATGTTCAAAAATTTTTCAAACTTCGTACACAAGCTAGACTAAGTGAGATCTTCATAATGGCAAAATGTCAGGTCAAAATTTGAAAAAATATGATTGCATTGAAAAATTAACAACCACAGATAGAATTCAATAAAAATTCAATTATCTCAGTTAAATCTTAATGATGATGGACCTCCCATCATTAGTTTCACATGATGTCTCGGTCGAGTTTTTTACGCTTATGGTCTTCTACAGAGCTATTGAAAAACTTTTCATTCTATATTGTTTTCCAAAACTATTTAGTAACAAGCAATCAACTACATTGGTGACGAATATTACAGTTAGCAGTGTTGAAACAAGTTCACATGGAGAATACGATAATTTATCTCAATTTTTTTTCGTAAAACTAGATCCTTATAAACTCCACAGCCGACATAGCATTAAAAAATTATAATCAATAATGCATCGAATACAAAACTTTATCCCGAATCCGATTATAAAATCAGAAAACTTACTGAAACTCGAGATTTCTTGAAAATCAGCAAAAACCAGTCGATACTGAGTTTTTCAGTGATATTTGTCCTACATGTCCTGGAAGGTCATCTGCAAACAATACCCAAACTTCACATAAGACATAATTTTTGACGCACCATCCAATGGTGTTAAAAAAGTGTGGGTGGATGTTGGTATGCTAGTTGTTTTAAATCAATATGTTCTATATGAAAATATAAATGATATATTCTCGAAAAATTTTTCTTCATTGAAAATAAACTATAAAAAAAGCTTTCTTTATACTTCACCTTCTCTTTGTATTCGAGAGTATTGGCACATTCTTCAACTTCATAAGATCAGCTAAGTTTCAAATTAAGTCTAACAATGACTTTCTCTAGTTATAGAGCATTACATTTCATTCAGAATTTTTGCAGCTTTTTTCTATATCGATAAAATTCAAATGTATCCATTGCGACATCTATTAGAACTACCGCTTCGCTCAGTTTCTATTGCATGTACGGTAATCAATAGCGAAATATGAATATATTTGTCTTATTCTTCTTCATATTCCATTGTTTTTTTAATATCATATGAGTAAACATTTAGTAATGATGAAGAAATTTCAAACATGAACCAATGTGTACACGTACTAATTTTTCTATCTGAATATAATGTAATATAAAACAGACTTCACTTCATCGTTTTGATTTTAGCATAAAACATGACCAATATTACATTTGCTCTAGCTAATGCCACTGTATGTGCTAGAAGACATACTGAAATTCAATAACTATCAGAAGTTGATTTGGCTCGATGGGCATTAAAAGATGAAAAATTATCACTCGAAAATTTTCAAACCAATTATCCTTTAGTTGCTGAACTTAATGGTCACAATAATCGAATTAAAAATGCTTTTGTTAGTGCTATTTACAAAGCTTATTGTGATCATTATCCACTTGAATTAAGTGTCGAAGACATTTGGGTTGCTATTGCACAGAGTATTGGAATTCATCTCAATCAAAATACTGAGAAATATCGACATTTAATGGTATCACATGAAGGACAAAAAGAATTAATATTAGGTGTTGATAGTCTTCGAATACCAGATTCTGATCGACCAGTTTATGGTAATAAATCTGCACCTGCTATTGATTGATCAAGAGCAGTTCGATTGATGTGTAGATTGATTAGAAATGATATGAAAACAGATATGACTACACTTTTGACAACTCCTTTTTCGAGTACAACACCAGTTGAACAAGCTGTATTTGATTGTACATTGATGGATACTGTCAAAGCTTATTATAAATATCGATGCTGCTTAGAGTGTGGTATTCCTGAAGTAACATTACGTGGTTCGCCAGATGATTTTCA